GGGGGGGGGGGAAACAGTGTTCCCAGTAATTTCTAACATTGAGTCATTCCTAATTCTTTTTACAGAAATGGATCGTATTAAAAGTTTGCTTTAACTTCCTGCTTAACTGTGTTCACAATCTTTATATTATCTAGAATTCTGCTTAGCTTCATGGCTCTTTGTAGAAGCTATCTATTTCCACATTTGGCTATGCTACCAGAATACTTCCGTCTGTTATGAGATTACATCTAGAATTTAAGATTTCTGATAAAGCTCTACCAGTCAAACCCTATATTAATGTTCTCTTAGACACTTCATTGTTCTATTCAGCATAGCATTTGATTGCTTCACAGACTTTTAAAATTATTTTCATAATATCCTTGTGAGACAGAGCAGGTGATAGGTTTCCCTGTTTGTAGCTGTAACTGAGAGATGCAGAGGGCATCAAAATGAAATGGTCCTTACAGATGATTACTCAACTCTCAAAAATTTCTTGAGGAATGACCAGATCTAGTGACCTGATAGGACTATAACCTTATTCGGTATCTGTAACATGCAAAGTTAGGATACTCCCCTTACCTTTGGTCTATTTAAACTTCTGTGACACTTCTGTTTAAAGTACAGCTTTAATAAATTTATTCCAGTAGGAACTGGGAATGTTCACGCTATCTTAATATGCTGGTCTGTATGCTCTTCATTGAGCACTGAGAGAACAAGGATGTAGTCACTACATATGAGAAATTCGGTTTGCCATACTTCGTTGTGAAAAGGACATCTGTTGGATCACACAGAGCTTCTCAAGAAATTGCATTCAACTACTATATTGTCGTTTAGCTTCTTTCCCTCTGTCTCTATTAAATGGCTGGCTCTCATATTGGGATCCCTAATGCAAGACCTCCTTAAAAATTAATTTCTCCTGCTTCCTCCAAATGGTTCATGCTCAGAATTTCTGAAAATAAAGTCCCTTGTAACTTCAGAATGGATATAAAAATTTCAAGCTTTGGAAGGAAACTGTTCTTAATGAATAGCAGAGCATTTATCACCACTGCTACAGTTCCCATCAAATGTCAAATGAGGTGGCTAATACACATCTCATCTCCCTGTTGACCTCAGGAAAAGCATCACTTCACACAAGCAAAAATTTCCCCCTTTGCTCAAGCATTTGGCATACTTCTGTGCAAGCTGGTTTCATTTGCTTTTTAGTGGGCGTTTTTTGGGGGGGTTGGTGCTTTCTTTTTTCTTATGTTGAATATATTTAAAGTTGGTGCCAGGCAGTAATGATTTAGCCATGGAAGGGAAAGGATGACTTGGGCTAAATGTTTAGCAGCATGTTTTGTTATAGCCTGCTTAATTGTCATCTGTTGTGACAGTTCCATTTGTCTTTTACAGGAAGCCCATGATGGACTTGCTGATCTTTCTCTGTGCACAGTATCATTTAAATCCATCAAGTTATACTATAGAGTTGGTATCAGCAGAAAATAGCCAGATTAAATTCAAACCCAACACACCAGTGGGAATGCTTGAAGTGGAAAAGGTGATTGTAAAACCAAAACAAATGGATAAGAAGAAACCTGCTCCAGTTATACCAGAGGTGAGAACTAAAATTAAAGTGTATTGAGAAATTAGAATCACTGTTGTATTCAACAAGGTGAGCTGGTAGCTCAGCCTCTTGTTTCAGCTTTTCCTGTTGTCTGTCATCCTCTCACCACGCACCCCTGTGAAATGCTTGGCTCCATGTTATTGATAACCTCCTCGTAGGTAAAATATATCTCAGTTTGTTGCAGCAAACATCTTTGCTGCTCAAAGAAGGAAACATTACAATATCATTTGAAATCCCACGCCTTACTGTCCTTTTGACAAATTCTGCAGATGAAGTGTGGCTGAATACAGCCTTCCACAAACTGAAAATCAACAACTTGTACCATCTGTCATGCTGTGATATATATGCCCTTCTGATTGTATGTTCATTTTCCTTTAATACATACTGTACTTTTTTGCTGTTAACTCGTTTTTTTTATATACGCTTAAGAAGGCAGGAGCTTTTAGAAGTACTAAAGCAACACCTGGGTGTTGCCTAAATCTTTCCTTCCACCTTTGTCTTCCTGCTGTGTAGAAGAATATTGTTTTCTAATTTATCTAAAGCACTTACACAGGGCCAGGGGAGCTCTTGTACTGCCCCTTTAGTTTTGTCCCACACATGTGCACACACAGACAGACACACAGAGAGACAGGACTCACTGACTGACTTCTACAGCTACCTAATGTAACCTCGTAGGGCATCTCGCTCCAGACATGTACCCTGCTGGACAGGCAAATGACAGATGCTAAAGGAGGAGCAGTTTCATGTGTCCTTTTCTTCAGTAGAAGGGAATCACAGAATTCTTCATATTTTTCTCTTGTAATGTTACTGGTTCTATAACATTGGTGAAGTTGCCCATAAGAGGAATTGCTGTGATCACTGTAAGGCTGTTATAAAAATGCCAGTTCTTTAAGAATTTGTGCTGGTATTTATTGGAACTTTCTTCTCTTTAGCAAACAGTAAGGGTAGTGATAAACTACAAGAAGACACAGAAGACGGTAATAAGAGTTAGTCCACATTCACCCCTTCAAGAACTTGTACCAATTATCTGTAGTAAATGTGAGTTTGATCCTTCACACACTCTGCTGTTGAAGAATTACCAGTCTCAAGAACCCCTTGATGTGACAAAATCTCTTAATGACCTTGGACTAAGAGAATTATATGCCATGGATATCAGTCGAGGTAAGATAACTTTTGTAAATTGCAGTTATAGAAAAGATAATGACTTAGTATTTCAATAATGTATATGTTTTGTTGGGTTTTTTTACTTACAAAGAAATTATTTTCTAGCAATTTAGTATATATTTCATTAGTCTTCTGCAAAATTGAAACTGGAACAAGTTTACCTGTACTTATGTTTGAGAAGTGCTATATAAATGTTTTATTTTCTAACAAAGTGTTACGTACCAGTGAAGGTGGCTAAGTACAAATCATCACTTAAAAGCAAGCCCTTCCTTTCCTTCCCCACCCCTTCCCCAAAAAGACCAACATCACTCTATTTCCCTTAGCTCGTAGGAAGACATAGATTCATGATGAGCTGAAAAAACCAGAAACATAAGAGAAATTGTTTTGTTTTAAAAATACTTAAAATTTAAAAAGTGTTAGAATATTCTGATGGTGTTTATGTATATTTCTAAGTGCTGTTTGCTAATTTTACAGATTGTGAAGGAATAATAATTCTCTTTTTAATTGTGGTCCAGCAGGGGCACTATGAACTAACTTCCTTAAATTTGTAAAGACATTCCTATGCCTGGTTTTTAACTTCAGCTATAAACCTGTCTTTTTCATGAAGGGTTTATTGTACTGTGATTAAAAATTCTATACAGTGTGATTTGTTCTCTTTCAGACATTTCTCACAGGAAATTTTACCTCAATATAGAATGCAGTAATACTGGCTCATTCCTGTTCTTGACCACTGTTCTATTTGCTTGTTTTTCTTCCTGCTCTAAAACTTGGGGATTTTTGTTGGGTTTTTTTGTTTGTGTCTTTTCTCCCCTTCTACTGAAATACAGTAACCTTATCATTTGGTGGTTACAGTTTCAAGAATTCTTTCAGTTACTTCCCAAAGGCCAGTTATCTTGAACAGGAGAATGACAGATTTGGAAACTATGTCCTTTTCCCATGAAGAAAACAAAAATGAAATATCTTTCTCTTCTTCACTGGAAAACAACGTATTTTTACTTGCCTAAACATGTTACTTGGACTAAACGTGCCCATAGCGCGTCTTGTTTGCTTTCTGGCTATTGCTCTATGCCCATAGCGCATTGTCTTGTTTGCTTTCTGGCTATTGCTCTCATCTACAGAGTGGCAGAGCTGCCTTTTGCACAGTATGACGTGTGCTTCATTTTAATCAACAGCCAAAAATCCTTAGGAAAGAATACAAGGGCATATGCACTTTCTACAAGGCAGTGCCCAGCTAGGAAATTTAGATATACTTCAGTTCTCTTGGCACAAAGTAGTTCAGCATTTCAGTTTTGCAGACAACTTCTAAGTTCTGAATTTTCAGCTTTCTTCATGAAAGCAAATGGTGAGGTACACCTTTACTTAATAGAATTTAAATCCAAATCTTATTTTATTCTGATTATATTTTCATTATACATTCCTCTTTGTTTTCCAAGTGTGGACTGCCCGACAATCCAAAACTTACAGAGCAAACTGTTCTATATACTAGTTTTCCTCTTTCCTTCTGAAATGTAAGTGTACCTTCTCTCCTTATTTACAAGATTACAGTCTGCTTTGCATGTCTTCAGGCTCAAGTTCTTAAATGGTTTATAGCATTAGGTAGTAAAGACACACGTCTCTTTACTTCAGGAAACTACCCAGTTACTTTTTCCTAATGTTGAAGATTCAGCTTGGCTTTCTGTGTTTGTAACTTATAACTGCATCCTTGATTCAGATTCACATTTTCTGTCTTTCTTTTTGTCTTTCTGTAGCCACATCACCAGTTGATTTAAATTTACCATCTTTGCAAGGTACGATTTACTGAAATAGGCGGTGAAACTGTAGCACTTACATGACATTACCATCCGCTCCTATTATAACATCTGCTTAATGGTGATATGAGTCATTATCTCCGTCTTATCATAAATGCATATTTGAAAAGATAATACAAAAGTGGATATATGCAGCTATATAGAAAGTATTTCTGTATAGTTTTACCCTAGATTGATTGATTAAATTTAGTCGTGTTTATACTGATACTTGTACCAGGAGCCCACAGTGGCCTTGCTGATTTCTGTTGCTCATTACATTTGTGTTCAATGGGATTTCTTTAAGAAAGTTAAATCTAGTAAAAATTAAAGAGACATCCTTTAGATTTATAAATTGTCTGCGTGAATAAGATAATGTAAGGAGGATAAATTCTGCAAGATACTTTGACCTATCTTTACTATGACAATTACATTTGCAGCACCTATCAGGGGTTTCAGTGGTCCTTCTCCATAGTCATACCATGTGCAAGCTTGTGCCTGACTTGTCCCACTTCACGCTTTGCCATGAATTTAAACTGTTAGGAATTGAGAGCTGGAGAGGCTGATGCTCTTTTTCCCTTTTACAGCCTTTGTGATATGAACCATAACATATGACAAGTGGGATGGGCTGGATAAAGTGCTGGGGTTATTAATAACAGCTAAAACTCATCTATTCCAAGTTCTGAGAAAGACAGGAAGAACACGGATGGTAGGAAACCTGTTCATTTTCAGTGTTTAGAAAAACTATTAATATAGGTGATTTACGATGTGTTTTGTATATCCTTCCAGGAGGCTTATGACAGACAGTGAAATAGTAAGAATGCCAGAGCAATAATCTGTGTAATAAATAACATCTAGAACTACTGTTTTCTATTTTAGACTCCTACCAATCTGAAAACTTAGATGTTCTGAAAGAGAAAGAAAACAAAGGATTTTTCAGCTTTTTTCAACGAAGCAAGAAGAAAAGAGAACAAGTAAGATGTAACTTTGTATAAGCAAAACTTCTAGAAATGTATTCCTGTTGAGCAATCGATACTGTCGCTTGTTTTCCAGAAAGTATAAGTAACTTGGATTTTTTTTTTTTTTTCTTCCCTCGCACCCCAAGGCTGCCAGTGCCCCAGCAACTCCATTGATGAGCAAGCCAAGGCCAACGTTTATCACAAGATCTAACACCGTTAGCAAGCAGTATGATTCAAACACTCTGCCATCTGAAATGCCGAAGAAACGGAGAGCTCCTTTACCACCTATGCCAAATTCTCAGAGTGCTCCCCAGGAACTTGCACAAACCCAAGTCAGACCAGCATCTGATATTATGAAATCTAACAGCCTTGATAGGAATGAACAGGTTAGTTACGTTTGCTTCACTTCTGTTAAATCAAGAAGTTTAGACATAATAAGCCTGATAACCCTGTTAATATCTGCTGGGGCTTGAAATAAATGGGAAATAAAAGTGTAGTACTTGCTTTTAAAAAGTTTAGTTTGAAAATAACTACAGAAATTGAAAGGTGTGTTCCTTTTAAACTTTATATCCTGTATCCAAAGTCGCTGCTGTATTTTGAAAAGGCAAAACCAACTTCTCATATAAGTTGGTATTCTGAGCACCTTTTTGTTCTTCCAATTAATACTTTATATATTTAAATGGGAGAACATTGTCTCACTTTATCATATCTACTAATTGATGTTTTGATCTTTTGAGTCAATTTAAGTGTTTTAGTTAAATGTGCTAGAGTAGTTTGTTCTTTACCTTGCGTTACTAGGAAAAGGTGGAAATCTTGGGAAGTAGTCTTAACATTCTTGTGCTCCCAGCATGTTAAAGTAAGGTTTTATTTCAATCAAATAGGGATGTATTTAATTGAAGCTATGAGATGTGGGCTACATATTTAAGTAACCTATATATCCCATGCAGTGCAGAAAGTCTGCCAACAGAAATTGGGAGAATAGATGGATTAAGTATTATCCTGGTATTGTACATACTGTCAATTGTGAGTTCCAGTTAAAGATCAAGGCTAAAAATGTCTTTTTTTTTTAATTCCATACTTTGCTTTGAATGCAGGATCTAAAGGTGGTCCTTAAAAATAAGGTTATTGGCACACTAGGAAAATAAAATGCAGAACTAAATGAAATGCAAGTCTGGGGGATTAATTTTGTGTTAGACTCAGAGACAAGACATTTCAAACCGTGACTTCCTTTATCCGTATACAATGATTTACTCTTTCATTGATGCACAGAACCACAAGAGAGCACTGTTTAACAGAAGTTCTGAATTT